AGTATCAGGAGTTAGTAGAATTTATTAAGGTAAGATAGCAGTCAGATAATTAAAATCCACACCAAACTTCCTGAGAAGTTGGTGAATGTTTTGGGCAGAAATAGAAAAGGCAATAGGCAGCAACATGAACCGAACTGAGAGTCAGAGGAGGGAGAATTTTCCATATAATATGTAAAACACTGGAAAAATTTTAGTTAGAGCTGACATCTGTTCCAAACCCCTGCAGAATGCAGGGACAACTTCCAAGTTAGATCAGGTTTTTCAGGGCCATGTCCAGCTGGGTTTTGAATATCTCCAAGGATGGAGGTCTCACAACCTCTCTGGGCAACCTGTTCCAGTGTTTGACCACTCTTCATGGGAGAAATTCTTTTGATGATACCCAGTTGGAATTTTCCTTCTTCCAGCTTGTGTCTGTTCCTTCTTGTGTCCAAGAATAGTCTGGCTCCATCTCCTCTGTAACCTTTCATTAGATATTTGAAGATGGCAGGAAGGTCTCCCCTTAGGTACCTCTTTTTAAGGCTCAGCCAAGCCTTCCTTCATTTGTTAAGTGTTCCAGCCCCGTAATAATCTTAATTTCCCACTGCTGGACTCACTCCATTATGTCAGTGTCTTTCTTGTAACAGAATGCTCGAAGCTGGACATGGAAGTCCAGATGAGGTCTGGAGACCAGAACAGAGGTTTTCCTCTGTTCTGAATATATAACTTCCTTTGTCCTGCTGGCTGCATGCTTGCTCATATAGACCAGAATGTGATTAACCACCTCCGTGCGGGTGCAGTGCTGACTCGTGTTCCAAGCCTGGTCCACCAGCACCTCCAGGTCCTTTTCTGCAAAGCTGTGTTGTATCCTGTCAACATTCAGCCTGTATTGTTGCATGGGAGTTATTCCATCCTAGTTGCATGACTTTGCATTTGCCTTCAAGTTTTCTGTCAGCCCAATTCTCCAGGCTTCTGAAGATCCACTGAGTGACAGACAGCCCTGTCCTGCAGCTTATCAACCTGTCCCTCCCAATTTAATGTCATGCATAATGTCTTACACTTAGGAATGAATGTACATACTCAGTGGAGGAAGGAAGTTCATTCATCTTCATCTAGAGTTTTGACATTAATTATGTCTACAGACTTCCCCCTTCATCTCCAGGATCCATATTCAGTTTTTCAAAGAGAAGGCAAGCAATAAAGATGTTTCTGCTCTGTGATGCTCTCTCTTCAGTTACATAGTGTCTGTGTACGCATCCTGTAGCAATCACCATTTCCTAGATGACATGTTGGGAAATTGAAGTCAAGACTGTCAATAGACAGACATCATGAATTCAGAAAAAATATGTGCATCTTTTGCCATGTATGTCAATGAAATTTAAAAGTTTAGGTAAATTTATTCATAAAAATGTCTGCAAGTACTTCTTAACTTATTAAGCGGTATTTTTGGTTTGCTAACATAAAACACTTTTCTCTCTTAACACCAAATGTTTGCTCAAATACTAGAGACAGTGGCTTCATCTCAATTGTTGTTTCAGAGCATGCTTGAGAGTGTGCAGGGAGTACAAGAGACTTACTTCCCTCCTTGGGAGATAGAAAGTAAAGGCTGATGGTTTCTGCTAAAGGCTTTATTGTGCACCCCCCCCCCTTCTAGTGAGAGCAAGTTTATTCTCAATCTTTAATTACCCTCTGATTGTTTCTTGGTTTTCAGCATTTTCTATATTTGTAAGAATCACTTCAGCCTGGCCCCAATTGATAACTATTGATTAATCTCTTGTCCCAATTGAGGTATGTGCTAACTTCCTTCTTCAGGTAATTCAGCTTTCTTGTCTCTTTTGGAGAAGCTGGCTCATAGCACTCCTGGTTTTCCCAGTAAGCAGCTGTGTGTATTTATGTTACAGATGCCTTGATGTGAATGTTTCTTGTTTGTGCTAAATCTGTCTAGTTTTTTGCAGGAAAGGGTTCTGAGCTAATTCCTGATTACCACTCTGAATTCTCTAGCTTAGCAATACTAATATGCTTTGTTTTCTCAGAGCTTTCAAGAAAATCCTAACACGTGATTAAAGTAGTACCTACACTCCATCATAATCTGTGACTTTGATTTGTGCATTCTACTCAGAAATACCCACATGCACAGAGTCTCCATTAAGCTGTTTGATTTGAAGTACTCTGGCTGTCTCCAATTACCGTATTTCTTTGAAAAAACATCTACCTTCTCTGTGTCCCACATGTTGAACTTAGTGCTGTTAGACTTACAGTTCTAATTTGGAAAAGCTTGGTGCTATGTCTTCAGCGTAACAATCTTTTATTACACATCATCTGCAGAGCATCTCTACAGTTGGATGCAGCCACGGAGAGCTAGGTTTACAGTTTCAGGGGCATGTGGTAAGTGAAAGGAAACATATAGAGAGTCTTTGCTTAGTTTTCTGGAACATAATTGCTTTTCACTTAGCAACATACATAGACAGACAAGATTTTTCCAGCTAGGTCCTTGATGGATATTTAGGGTTTACCAAAACTGAAAGACTTCATTTGCTTTTTGAATTTCGTTTACAGAAAATTACCAGTTATGCACATGTTTTTCTTGGATTTATTTGGTTCGCCTGTGGATTTCTTGTCATTGAAATGATAATATTCATCAAGAATGAAATTTCTTGCCCTGTTACTTGTACTATTATAGAGGCTTCGTCTATTTGTTTATAAATTATTATTTTTTTAATTTTCCAAATTTGCATTAGTTCTTGTTGCCTTTAGGCTTTAGAATTAGAGATAAGCCCCAAGAATTTTCCTGGGATGAAATGACATAGAACTGTGCTATGTATTTTGATATCTTCAGAAAAAGTTAGTCTCACTTTTTGTTTTAATTTTTATATACTTGATCTGTTTAACTTACAGGGATTGTCAGTGATGAGTGCTTCAGGAACTTTACAGGGAGACTTGGTTGCTGTCTTAGTAAGAGATTCTTTTGGGGTTTTGTTTGTTTTTTATTGAATAGGACAAGGAGAAATGGTGATAGTGGAAAGATGCTGTTTTGAGGGGGACTAAATTTTCAAGAATTCCTAGTTTACTTACCTCCTAACACCTGTACATGGTACTCAGTCTGGAGGCAGAAGCATAACTTGGTAGAAGCAGACTAGCAATTCACTCTGACTCATTGTCTCTGGATTGTAGTAGCATTTATATGGAAAAGGATGATACATACGACATCAATTTTACGCAGGTTGGAGAAGGCAAAAGTTTTCAATAGCCATATGTTGTATGTGTAATTACACATTATTTATCTGGCTAGTGTACTTAAATACCACAAAACAGTGATGTGTTAATGTTAAAGGTGCATCCTATGACTATTAAATCTTGAAAATTAAATTTAAAACTCTGTATGCCAGTATGGAAACGTCTGTTTCCCCAACTTCCCTTCTCTAAATATTGGATATTATTAAACATTCTCACAATAAAATTGCACAGAAGGATTTGGTCATGGTAGCCGGAGCGGAGAGCTAGTGTATAACCATCTCTTTATGACTGGTTAAAAGTTTCTAGGGGTACATGTGTAGGTTTTGTGTGTTTCATAGGGGTACATGTGTAGGTTTTGTGTGTTTCGTAAGGCTGAATTGAATGGCTGAAGAGGAGGATTTAAAATAGAATGTATCTCACATGTAACAAAGTAAATAT